TTCTGGCCCCTTCAGTGCATGCAAGATCAGACTCTTCCACTGTAACCAGAGGAAAACGTGAATCTCAGCCTTCTGGGGCTTATAGAATCCTCATTTTGTCAGGATGAGCCTTGAGGGAAATACGTCTCCCTCCCTTCCATCAGCTTAAGTTGTATGTTAATACATTCCCAAACTAGTAAAATAAACATTTTCATCTATTTCAATGGCCCCTGTAAAAAAACAAACAAACCATTGCCGCAATTTGGTTCTGTATGCAACTTTCTCTCCAGGGTTTAGAAAAGCTTAGTTAAAGCAAAGCAAAAATTAAAATGAGTTACGGCAACCTTATCTTTCTGTTTGATGAAGTAGCCCTTGAAGATTTTCCCCATTCGTTTTTTTCTTTCTCTCTTTCTCAGCCCTGAGAAATATATGTCTTTCGCTGTGTTAGATTAAATCTCTCATCTGTTGTAATCTGCTGAGACATGATGGTAATCCCAAATCAGCAAAAGTCGTGGCATGTCTTGGTACGGTGGCTTTAAATTTATACCGATGGCTTGCGTTTTTTCTCTCCTTGTAGTGCGGATTGGATTCTCTGTTAAGGTTTCTCTGTTTATTGATTAATAATCAGCCGAATACCATTGCCCCGTATCTATAGAGAGATCTGAGAAACTCGTGCATTCTTTATTTCTAATTAGGCATCAAAATAAACTTGGCTTGCACACTGCTTAGTGGGCCTGATCCAGACATTTTCTCTGGGGCACTTCAGCTCCCTCTGAAATCCAGCTTTGCTTGCAACAATCCCCCTTCACTATTTTGCTCGCTATGTGGAGAAGCAACTGTCCAGTGCAGCTCAAGATGGGTGAAGAAGGAAGCCTGAGTAGACGGAATAATTTTTGCAGCCAATTTTTGCATGGCGCAGAAGCTGGAGGGAAAGAACCAGGCATGGTAGGAGGAGAATTTGCAATGCTGGTCTGTCTTCCCGTTCCGTGTAGCAACAAGTTCATAATGCAGGGCAAGGTGGGAGAGTTTCTTGACGAAAATTTGGGAATGCACATGTGTTTCTACTAGATTGTACCCTCCAGGCGATGAGCAAATGTATATTTCTGCCTTTTCACATCTTCTGAACCAAACGAAAGGACTATTAATAGCTCTGCGGAATCTGCTAGGAAGCGATTTGATGCATGTTTCGACAGAAAAACATTCTTACAGCTCGCTACGTAGGACTTTTTTCTGCCTAAACACGCACTGGATTACACCCTTTCTGTGTTTCCCCTCCGACGAGTGTTTGCAATCTTGTTCTGGAAATAGTAGGTGCAAACTTCATGGACAGTCGTGCTTTCATGGTCTCCGAGGATTAGCAATCTCTCTCTCTCTCTCTTTCCTTTTTTTTATTGCTGCCATTCTGTGCAGAGACCTTTTAAAGCAGTGTGTGTAATTTGGAACGGGTAATGAAAATTATGCCACTAATTAAAAAGGGTGAGTTGATCGCTACCAGGTGCGATGGGCAGGCACAGATTTCGGGTCTCTGCCGCTTCCGTCATTGCAGCACTGACCCAGCCGGTCCAGCCTGTGGCCCTTGGGGAACGTTTCCCAGGCCTGCGACAGGTCTCTGCAGCTCCTCTGCTCTTGAGAAGGAAGGAGGGGGCGCGCGGTGAGCGGGGTGACACGGTGAGGACTTTGCCGGAGTGGGTTGATGCGTTCCAGAAGGATGTGGCTGCATTAGCAGGCTGAGAGGCTGACGTAACCGGAGGAAGTTGCTGATTTTATTGTGTGTGTCTCTTTCACCTGCATACCTTCTTGCAGGCTTATTTCTGTGGCTTTTTTCACATGCAAACCTTATTCATTTCTGGCTGCTGTCATTTTTTCCCCTCGGTCGTTCAGCCAGTAATGCCCATTAAAACATCTTTTCTATGAGTGCGCACAATGGGGGGGGGGGGAGTGACCTGGCTTGCACACGCGGGCAACCCAGTGAACAGGATGTTGCCCTACCCAGAGCTTTTCCAAGGGTCATCTGCCAAATTAGGACATGTGTTGGTTTTGTGCTGAGTTGATCCCTTCTCCTCTGCCTGCTCCATTCCTGCATCTCCGGTACCTTTGAGGTGGTCCAGTCTCAGATACCTTCTCTTCCCCCGCCATAGCTTGGCAAAATCACCCATGAACAACCCATGGCGCTAGGTTCCTACATCACAGCAAACCAGGATTTCAGCAGACCAGTGTTCACAGCCCACAAACAGCCCGTGGATTCTCTTCCTGGTGGGTTCATGGTTAATAACCCTTAGTTTGCACCTATGACATTCCAAGACGCAATGACGCAAATGCTGAATTGTGGTTTCTTGTGAATCAGACAAGTTTTCGAGGCTGTTGCTAAGAGCATCGTTGTTAGGCATGAAAAATTAGGAGAAAGGAAGTGGAGAGGAAGTGGAGAAGCATCACGCACATCCAATATGGGATATCGCTATGGGAACCTCAGATAAATATGAGTTAATTCCAGGGACCGTTCACTACAGCAGGAACCAGTGATGAAATATTTCTTCCTTCTGCTGACTTGTACCTGTAGTGGGTGGAAGGCAGAACTTTGGTTTTGACTGAGCCGGGAAAAGAGAGAATCAAAATTGCTAATAAATCTGAGTTCGGCAGGTTTCATATTGGAATCTCACTTTCTGAAGTTCTTTTGTTGCTAAATAAAGCTCTCTTGGGCGCATTCTCGTTCACTCTCTCACTGCCTGTTGGTGCTAAACTAAAAATTCAACAAGATGCCAGTCATGTAATTAACCATTTGTATGGCTTGTTATTGTTACTCCTCGAGAGCATGTCCAGGGACAAGGTAGCTTACATAAGCGTTTAAACGATTACAAAATTGCATTTAAAAAGAAAAAAGAAATCCAAATAGAACAAACTTACCAAAACACAATAACAACCACCCAAAAAGCAGCAGCAGTTTAAAACCCAGCTGTAAAATGCATTTTGATATGTAAATTTGAAAGATCCATTTAAAAATTAACATCTGCTGCTCCATATATATACTGTGCCTTTGGAGAGTTACAGGTGCAAGTTGGAATTTTTCTTGTACTGGATGTTCTGCACTACACTTCCTATCATCCCCAGAAGATATCTGGAGGGTGCTAAATTGAAGGAAGCTATTCTAGATAACAGTGTGAGAACAGTTTAAAATTGAAATTCCAACAAACCCCCTTAGACAGCCAGCAGGCACAGTGGTGAGAGTACTTCCCTAAGACTTGGCAGAACAAGATTCTAGTCCCTGCTCAGGCTCTGAGGCTTGCTGGGAGATCCTCAGTCGCTGACTCCCTGCCTGGCCTACCTTGCAGGATTGTAGTGAGGAAAAAGTGGAAAGAGAAGGACTTATGTGTGTTGCCAGAAGATAAACAATCTATCCACACCCTCGAGTGACCGCCTAGCACAGCATCCCCAGGTACCACCCCACTGCTTTTCTTGACTGCCAGTAGCAGGTGTCCTCTGTTGTTTGTGTGTTGGTTTATTTACCAGAGTAATATTTGCGCATCGCTTCTCCGCTGGACAAATTCTAAAGCGGCTTGCCAAAACGATAGGAAGAATACAGCATGGTATCGCGGTTCAAGATAACTTTTGCCAGGGGTATTGCTAAACCCTGACCCAACTCCAGTTTCCAGCGGCAAGGATCTTGAGAAATCCACATGGGATGCAGATGAATTTGGATTTCTGCAGATTCTTGGGTGGGCTGTTTTTCCCCCGCAACCTTTCCCTGAGGACTCAACCAGGGCCTTTGTTCAGGAAAGACCAAAGGGAACAAATACATTTTCAGCAAAAGCCGAAAATCTTTCCTGTGCACCACCGACTCCAACTCCATTCGCTGCAGCACAGAGAGATCATAGCAAAGATCTGGGAGGCTGATGGCGCTGGTGGATCTTCTCCCGTCCACTTTCCCCCTAACCATTTCACTTGTTTTTAAGGCATCTATGACAGCGGACACACCCACATCCTCATGATTTTGGACTTTCTTTTGGTCCATCACAAACCCCAAGGCTCATGGGTGGCTGCGGGTGAGCCAGGATTCCAATCTGTTCAATAGCTTTAACCTTTCCACACTGCTCAAGCTGCATTATATTTTTGTAAGTCTGAGCTGCCTTCCCCAACCCCTAAAAAACCCGAACCCCCTCCCAGCCTCTTTAACACCCACTGTTTGGTAACTAACACAACCTCATTATTTTTGTTTTTGTTTGGTTTAGATTTTATCAAACAGTTCATGAGAACTAGAAGCTTAAAAATGAAAGCATAGATTCTTGGCTTTCTCCAGCATTTTCCAACTCAAACTTGCAACTCCCTCCTTCCCAGTGCAATTCTGGTTCCCCATGTTGACATTCTGACACTCCAGAATTCCCCCTTTCCTTTAGGAGAGGGGGAGCAGTTTATTCACTGGCTCCTGCTCCTTTCTCTTTAACAACTGTCCTCCCACGAGTGGATACTGGGGAGTCCGGACTTGAGGGTGGAGGCCAAGGCAATGCTCTGCGAAGCTTCCTAGCCAGTTTTCTTCCCATCAAGTTGCCACTCAAAAAACCCACTGCACAGCCCCCCTGCCCACCCCCCACCCCCTGGTGCACAATCTCCAAGCCATGGGAGCGCAAGAGGCTCAGCTCGCCTGCAAAGTGACAGCGGCGAAACCAAAGCCGCATCCACTCTGCAGGTGGATGGAAAGCCGTCTTCGCAGATCGCTATCTCAGCTGACTGTGATCGTAGCCTCGACATGAACACCCGGTAATTATCCCTTGGAGTGACAGAGGCACTTTGAGCGAGCTGTTTTTATTTTCCTTCCGAGACTTGGCCAGGGAAAATACAGGGAAGTGTGCGTGTCTGCCTGAAACTTGATCCCCAAGCAGCCGGATAAAGATCCACTTGGAAACATGGACCTTCCTTCGATCACCTGTAGACCATGCGGCTGCCCCATGGTGGAGCCAAGTCGGGGGGCTTCCTCCCTCGTTCTCCCATGGCAAGGTTTCCCACAGACCAATTCCGGGCTTCCCCCAACTATGTACTTTGCCCTCTTGGCTTTGGGATGTGCCCCATCCCGTTTTAAAGGGTTGAAAACGTCGAGGCCCCATCGGTGCGGGTGTTCAAAGACAGGCTGGACGTGCACATGGTGGGCATGTCATGAGCAGAGCCGTCTGGAGCCGGGGGTCAGACTAGATGGCCCGGGAGGCCCCTTCTGACTCGCTCTGTTTCTGTGTTTCTAAATGACTCTCCAGAAGCTTAGTTCCTGGTAGAGAGACTTTGATACAGAAATAGTTTTGCCTCTGCTCCATTCTGTTTTGGTTTCATGCACCCCTGGAATTCGCTTCCTGGCAGCACCTCTAAAATCGAGTTCTGTCCTCGGGCTGAGAGAAACTCAGCACCCCAGGCCAGCTATGCCTGAGCTTCATTTTATTTGCAAAGATTCTTCCTTCAGGAAACCGTTTCTCTGCCGCAGTGCCCGTCGCAAAATCCCTGCTCATTGCAAAGGATGTGGGGAGCTGTTTTTTTTCTGTACATGCTCTAAGTCTAATCATATGCAGGTCAAGCCACCTTGGGCCCGTGTGCCTGACACTCTCTGCTTGAGGGAATGGCATACAGAGAAGCGTTTCTGTCTGCTCTCTTTTTAATGCATCTGGTTTTCTAAATTTTAAAGTGGTTTTTTTAGCTGTTTAAATTGTTTTGCGTTTTGCATCTCCCCGTTTTCTGAGGTATTTTATTATTGGCATTGTGTGGTTGTAATTCTGTGAATTGTTGTGAGCTGCCCAGAGTGCATCAGCTGTTGAGTGGTCTAGAAAGGCAATTTAGCATCATGCAGACAGACACAGAACTCCAGGCTGGGGGACCGAATCCTGCCCTTTGGGATTCCCTAGAAAGCCAAACCCCCCATTCCCTGGCTCCACACTCTTTTCTCCAACCTCTAGATGTTTGCTATCTTTCTGGCTCTTGTGCAGGGCATTTTTCTCATCCTAGAAGGTTGAAACATCTCTGCCAAGGGCTGCTTACTGGCGGTATAAGCTTTAAAATAAACAACTTTTATATTTTCGAGGTTATTTTGGCCTCATCCCTTTCTCGTTTCATCCCACCCTGAGGATGCCTCTCGAAATTGAATCTGGCCCTGGCGCTGAAAGAGTTTCTGAAATCCTGAGTAAGGGATTTGTTTGGGGTCTCTGCATCGCACGGGGTACCCTAACATTTGTGGTTCAGGGCTCAAGCTTGGCACCAGCCCCTTCACACCCAGTGAAAAATCTTGGGAGAAACTCCTGATTCATGTGCAGGTTCACATGTGTTGCTCTGTCTGGGGATGCCTCTGACCTTCTCATCGAAACTGGTGCCCAGGTGAAACGGTATTCTCCCAAGATCGTTGCTTCTTTCTGAGCGTCATGCAGACACAGGTGTCTCTGTTTTTTAGTTTACGCATATCTCTAAAGCACCTCTTGCCCACACACACAGGCACCCTGTGCTCTTTTGTCAAGAGAGCTCCTGGCATAGCAAAACAAGAGCCTCTACCTTCCAGGTTAATGATCTGAAAGACATGGCACGAGAAGAAAACGGGAAGAGGAGGGCAGAGGAAAACCAGCCCAGCGCTCCCTTCTTCATTCCCCAGCATGTGTGGCATTTCTGATCTGCCGGCAAGACTAATTTTGAAGAAGGTTTTCTAAAAGAAAGGGAGGATGTGTGAAAATGGTGCCTTTTTGGTTGTTTATGCTCACCTGCAACCTCTCTCTGACCTTCCAACTGTTCCCCGCCAGCGTGTGATTCAGCATCCTGGCCTCACATCCCTCCCACCAAAGGTTGCTTGGTTGTGGAATGATCAGCCGCCACCAAGGACCCGCTCTGTGGCACCCAGTTCGGTTTTGTTGGTTCCAACCGAGCGCTGGCGGTGTGCCCCCAGGCGTGGCTTTGCCAGCAAGCAGACGAAGCCAAGGGTGGGAGTGGGAAGGCCGCATCCCAGACGCTTGCGCTGCTTTTCGGTTTGATTCATGTGGGGAAAGTGTTAACGGAGCGCCCCCTCCTCCCCGGTGCGGTGGGCAGCCCGTGCTGTGGGAGGGGAAAGAAAGGGAACGGCATGTGAGTTCAGGCCGGCGCAGCCACTTTGATCTGCTCTTTTGTCGATCCTGCAGTGCGGTTTTGCTCTTGCCGGGGGGGGGGGGGTTGCTCACAGGTGCAAATTGGCCAAGGCGGAAGTCGCTGTGGAGTCGAACGTGTGCCTTGGCGGCCCAGGCAGAGGGTTCTGCCCTGAATACCTCAGAATGGGAGGTACGTGGGTTCAAGGTCTTCCTGGAATATTGCGACGTGGACTTTCCCGGCGTGGGGGCTGGGTGGCGGGTAAGCTGCGGCTTTTTCGCGGTGCAAAGACGTTTGAGGATTCAGGAAGTGGTGGAGGAAGTGGGATCCCCCTTCGGCGAGGGATGGATCTGGGGGATTGCCCAAAAGAGGGGAGAAGCCCAGCAGCAGGCTGGGAATGGAGCAGAACCCCAGAGCAGCAATATCGACCTTTAACGGCTGCAGGAGGTGCACGCCAACGGCGGTTCTTTAATTCTCCTCTCCCACAAGGAACCCAAGCAGCTTGCGACATCCCCCTCCTCTCCCTCTTACCTTCACAACACCCTTGCGAGGTGGATCAGGATGAGAGTCAGGGCATGGCTTGAGGTCACCCTGGATACTTCATGGCTGGACGGGGACTGGAGCCCATCTGACCATGGATGGCTTTTATTTGTATGCTGCCCCATTAGCCATAGTCTCTCTGGGCAGCTCGCAACATTAAACATCAATTAATAACATTAATTTTGAATTGTGGCGCTGGAGGAGACTCCTGCACATCCCTCGGACCACAAGGCGATCCAACCGGTCAGTCCTGGAGGAGATCAACCCCGACTGCTCTTTAGAAGGCCAGATCCTGAAGATGAAGCTCAAATACTTTGGCCACCTAATGAGAAGGAAGGACTCCCTGGAGAAGAGCCTAATGCTGGGAAAAATAGATGGCAAAAGAAGAAGGGGACGGCAGAGGATGAGGTGGCTGGATGAGGTCACTGGGGCAGTTGGCGTGAGCTTAGACTCCGGGGATGGTGGAGGACAGGAATGCCTGGAGGTCAGTCGTAGAGGAGATCAACCCTGGCTGCTCCTTAGAAGGCCAGATGCTGAAGATGAAACTCAAATACTTTGGCCACCTAATGAGAAGGAAGGACTCCCTGGAGAAGAGCCTGATGCTGGGAACGATTGACGGGAGAAGAAGGAGGGGACGGCAGAGGATGAGGTGGCTAGATGGAGTCACTGAAGCAGTTGGTGTGAGCTTAAGCGGACTCCGGGGGAAGGTGGAGGACAGGAAGGCCTGGAGGAGTGTTGTCCATGGGGTCGCGATGGGTCGGACGTGACTTTGCGACAACAACAACAACATTAATAAGGGCCCAAAGGGGCCATAGACAGGGGGAGAGCCCCTGCTCTGCTTGTAGTAGGTCCCGGGTTTGACCCCTGGCAGCATCTCCTGGTAGAATCTGCAGGAAACCCTGGAGAGCTGCTGGCCTGTGTTGACTGCACTGGGTGGGCCTATGCTCTGCCCTCGCACGGAACAGCTTCTGATGCCCCTCCGGCCGGGAGCAGCAGCAGATGGGAAGAGAGTGTCGCTAGAGCACATCCTGGCATGGGGGGGGGGGAGCAGGTTGCACATCTGAATGGCCCCTCGCAGGTCCGAATGCCACCAGTGGGGCTCCTGCATTGCCGCGCCCCATCCCAAGCACACGGCACTTCCGCGTGGGGCAGCGTGTCTTGGCACGGCGGCCGCCAGCAGCTGCCACCAGTGGCCTCCCGTGGTGGACGCTCAGTCCCCATGGCTGTGGGAGCCGAGCTCAGTTCCCTTGAGTGGCACGCATTAAATAACCTCGGCTCAAGCCATTGTTTCTGCCCTCTGGGTTAGAGGGGAGCGTTAGAGGCGAAAAATTCCTCGCCGTGTGACACCTGCCACCAGTCCCAAATTTATCTCAGGAGCTGCAGTGCGCCTGGTGTCCGTGCAGATGCCCAGAACGGTTGGTTCTGCCCAGTGGCAAAGTTGCATCGTCTGTTCCAAAAGAAATTTTGGAATAATTGCATGAAGAACAAACACTCACCAAATTCGGTTCTGCTGAATTCGGTGGATACAGCCATTCCTGACATGAAAGCTGTTCGAGCCCCATTTTGATGGAAAGGCAGGGGTTCAAGCCAATCGAAGACTATGCTGAGAAGGCCGTCTGACAATAAAAGAGGTGGTAATGCTAATTTAGTTCTGCCAACAGGAGTGAATACGGCAGAAAGACAACCCCAGACTTCTGAGAGCAAAGCTCGCAAATGTATGGGCAAGTCTGTCAGTTTGGCTTTTTCCCATGTTTGATTTGTTTGCAAGCAATTCTCAGTGTCTTTTAGTCCCAAATTTGGAGGACTTTGCGAATGGCAGTTGATTCAGCTCAAGACTGAACGGAAACATTTTCACCTGGCTCTGTTTGCCAGGGGACGAAACGGTGCCGCTTGCGCAAGCATTTTGGCCTGGGCTCGTTCAACTGCTTCTCTTGCGTTCTCGAGTCGGGAAAAGGAGCCATGTTCAAGATGGCGGAGCGTTCCGGCTTGCGGGGGTGATGGCGCCAACTTGGGGGCTCCGCTTTCCGCACCCCAGGATGTGACCTTGACCGCACCAACCACACTTTGTGCAAAACCCAGCAACACTGGCCTGGCCTTCTTATTTCTCTTTTTCCGCTGATGCGAACGGTGTTTCCTATGATGCAGTGCCAGGAAGCCATGACGATACGGTTTGTTGGGAATTGGAGGCTGAGCACTCCCCGTTTCCGGACTGCATCACATGAAAATACGTATATAACTAAATCAAATCGATAGATCTATCAAATTAAATAATACAATTCTATTTCTTTGGGGGTTGTCTCTTTGCAAACAACGCCCAATCATGCACACCAGAGCCCCTGTTGACCTTAAGCCAGAATGGTAAGTTTACTGGCATTAACCTTTTTGCTGAAAAGCGAGAGTGTGAATTACTGGCAGCCTCTTCAAGGTGGACCTGGCTGACTAATTTAAAGGCTGACTCAACTCCCCTTCTCTTCACACCACGCTGCTTTTGGGGTTAAGGCAAGAAAACTTTGGTCTTTGTGGTTTTCTTTTTTCCTTTTGTTTTTGTTTTTTTTATCATGATTTTTCTTCCATGTATTAATTTAGCATCCTGCACAGACGGGTAAAGGTAACATCACAGTCATCAGGAGCCAGAAACAAGAAGTGATTTATTTAAGGCTGGTGCCCGGGGTGAATGTGAACCACTGTAACGTAGTGATGGCTGGGGCTGATAGGCATCGTAGACTAAGGCACTACAGACATGAGCAAGACTAGGCTAGAGGGTGCGATGGGGAGCCAAAAGGTTTGGTTCAAATCCCCACTTGGGCTCAGCCTGAAGTCCCTCGCAGGGGAGATACGGGGATTTTTAAAAAAAGCAGAAAGGACAGCCTGTAGACATACTTCTTCAGAGGTCTTGTTGGAGGAGAAGGCCAAGTATCCATTTAGAAAGGAAAAGAAACGCTTCACACCTTGCTTGTTTTCCAACAACCCTGCATAGTAGGCTAAGATCGGGTTCAAAAAAGATGAAAGTGGCTACCCCCTTGCATAGTTCTGGACTCTGGAGCCGTGTGGTGGGCTCAGCATCCCGAGGTTTTGGCCTTCAAGCCCCAGCCGGCTTGCCCGAGGGTCAGGAAAGTAGGGCCAGGAGCACCTGGAAGGCGTCAGAGCAGGGAAGGCTGCAGCAGGTTCAGGAGCGGGGAGGCAGCTCTCATCCGTATGGGGCAGGGCACTTGGGGGGCGCTGCTACAAGGTGTGGGAAATGCACTGAAGAGAAGAGACGGATCCATAGCACCTGGCCTGGGTGGCTGGACTGAACCACGGCATGGAGCTGCCTTTCCCTAGGTGGTCGCGGAGGGAACCAGAACACAGGGCTAGAACACCCTGGGTCCTTGTCTGCCTTCCCGTCCCCGGGCAGCTGAGCTTCACAATCTAATCTCACAATCTTCCGCTGCTGTTTTTCTGCCCACCTGCAGTGCAGGGATGCAGCTTGTGGTTTGTTGTGTTCAAGAGGCAGCCCCACGGTGGAGGATTCTCTCCGGGTCGTGCCGAACTGTTATGAAATGAAGCAGATCTTTATTTGCTTCAGCCACGTACGAAAATATGAGCATCTGAAGTGCACGAACTGTGCTTAACTGAAATTGGCGGAGTCCATTCTGAAATGGATACAAAAGGCATGCAGAATGAATGCAGAATCCTTGACACATAAATACATAAAAATATAAAAATGGAGGTATCCGTAATCACGTGGGCATGATTTGTACTGCACCAGCTAAAAAGTTTGCCATTTCTCTGTAACATGTTTGTTTTGATCTGCAAGCAAGATGGCTCTGTAACAGAATGGATAACAACAGTGTGATAATTCTCTCTTTTCTTCGAGCTTGAGAGAAAGTACCAAAAAATGCAGAGTTACTGTTTCACTACCTCCACCTCTGCATGGGCGCAATCAAATTTCCAATGTTTGTTTCTTTTTACTCAGCCCTCTGAGTATGACTGATCGCAGCTTATTTCCTTTTGCATCACCGAGTGGCTCAAAATTTCTGGCAAGACAAGCGGGGTGGAGCTGTTCTCCCAGCAATCTTGACATCTGATGATCTCACAGAGGAGCGCAGGAGCAGACAATGACGGTTTAGCGAGGTCGAGTGCTTTCTGGGCATGCTTACGTGCACTCTTGTTTTGTATGTTCTGTACCTCATGTGGCAAGAAGCGGAGTGGCAGTATTTAAAAAAAACAAAAAAACCCGAGGGCATGTGGGAAGGACATCAGACCAGCAAGCTGAATCTGGTGCTCCCCGGAAGACCTCTCACTCCTTCCCAGACCCTTCAGTAAAATTTGCTGGCTTTTTGGACCCCAAAAGCTTGTTCAAACTAGAACTTAGCCCTCATGTTGAAAGAGGTTCAGTTTAAGTACAGTTATGCAGCCTGCTCCAGCTTGGTTCCTCCATATGTGGGAGACTACCTGTCCCATCTTCCCCAGTGAGACAGCCAGCACAATTCAGAACAGAGCGAAGTTCAGAGTGAAGTTGCTATACTATTTCAATGGCCTCAACCGGATGCAATGCTTTACTGATGCTTCTTGTCCTTTCCCCGTGGCTGCCAGAAAACAATCTAATCAAAAGCATTTTATTTTCATTTGAACTATGTTTATTATTGCTATTATTATACTATTCTATTTCTATCCTACACTCTTTTTTTGTGGGAGGGCTTTTTAAAGTTGAGTAGATTTTATTTTGCAATTTTGTTTTCATTTCTGGACATTGCCCCAAGTACACCTGAAGGTGGAAAGGTGGCAGAATGATTAGATTATGATTAGAGCTGATAACAACAGGAATAATTCTAGCAATGTGCCTCTTTGCAATCCTGCTTTTTCCTGCTGCATCGCCTGGGATATTCCAGGGTGCTGAATTCTCTGAAAACTTGAAAACTCAGTTTGGCATGCTCTTGCTTTTGCTTGTGAACTCTTTCTTGCTTCTTCTGAAGGGAAGACGTCTGCCTTTCGAAGGAGAATCGTGTGCATTTCAAATCAGAAAAGCACGCACGTTTCAAAAGTGTTTATTTCCCCCAAATTGAATAAATGATTGACATGTTTCCTTTATTTTAAAAAGTGCAGATCGACACGCATAGGGTGGGAGCCCATTGTCTCACCACAATAACAAGCTCAGGATGTGAGAATATTTTTGTTCGTCTTCCGAGCTGCAAACGGGGCATCTTTGGGCGATTTGCGAATCGAAACGAAATCCTCTTGTGGAGAGAGAGTGGTGCCAGGCTCCACCGTGTGGACAGAACTCTGTATTGCATCTTGTGCTGTTCTCCAAGGGATGCCTCTTTCTCTAGTTGGCAAGGGAAAGGACTAAAGGGAAATGGCCCGGAAGCCATGCCTGCAGGGGGCTCCCCGCTTTTGCAGCTCTGTTGCCTGTTGCGCACCTGTAGTGGCGATCGCGTCGCCTCCCTCGGAGAGTTTCCCAGGTGATGGAGCCAAGTCCTGGCACCGAGCCACTGCAGGGATCCAAATGGGATCCAGGGTTTTCAATGTCCCCCAGCAAAGTCATCCCTACATATGTTCGGGACCCGACCCCCATCAGCCCTAGCCAGCACAGCCCATGGTGAAGGATGATGGGAGCTGTAGGCCACAGCTCTGGAGGACCACAGCCTCCCCTAGTAGGCCATCTTTGTGTGTGAGAGGGTGGAGCGCTCTCCCGGTTGAATGGCGAATGCGGCCAGCTAGGCTGGGGTGTCACCTACATACATGTCCCATCATGCAAGACCCACAGACGAAACCATGCCGTCATGTGAAAGAGGGCCAGAACGCTGCTTGGTTCCTTTCCCCGTGGTTTGGAAACAGATGTGCTGTGAGGGGAAATGGGCGTGCTTTGGATGCTCCCACTTGCGCTGCTGAAGCCAGGGCAGACTTCTGCCTTTCTGGCACTAACAGCAGGAGACCTGCTTTCGGCTGCCATTTTTTCCCACAATGCCCCACAGGTGGGGGATTCACCGGGAGGGGAGGAAATGGCAGCTGCTGATCTCATTTACCTTCTCTGAAACGGCCAAATGACGGCATTTTTGGGTTGCTTCTACACCCCACCTTTTTTCCTCCTCTTCCTCTTCTGCGTTTTAAAAGAAATGCTGCCAATCGTTGCTGTTGCCTCCACAGGTGAAAGCAAAAAATGAGGCACTGGTTTTAAAATAAAGCAAGTTGAAGAATGACAGCTGTAAATATGATTTTAACAAACGTACCACAAAGTGAAGGATTTGAGTAATGAAATGGAAGGCAGCAATGAAAGAAACGGCTGTTCTTGTGCACCCGGAACTGAAAATGGGCTGAAATAAGGGTATTTTCTTGTCCTGATCTTGTCTTTCCCCTTTCCCCTTCCCCACAGCCCAGATAGAGGTGATCCCTTGCAAAATCTGTGGGGACAAGTCTTCTGGGATCCACTACGGCGTCATCACTTGTGAAGGGTGCAAGGTGAGTCAGGGGCAGCGCCCCACATCGCTTCCTCAAGGGGGAGAGTGTCCCGTCCACAAACATCCATGCCACAGGAGGAAGCGATGCCCCCCGCTCTGGAGATCAGGGGTGTTGGACTTTGTTCAGCCTGAGGGCCGTGCCCCACTGGAAAACCTCTCGGGGGCCGCACTCCGGCAGTCAGCAGGGCTGAAGGCAAGAACGGTGGGACCAAAATGTTGAAGAGACTGGCATATTTCAGCTTCAGCAACTGAGCGAAACATGTCGCCCTCAGTCCTGGGAGCTGGCAGCTGCTTTAAGCCTGGGACGAAAGCAGGAGATGAGCCACGTTTCCACCTGTCCGTCTCCTTCCGCTCCAGGGGTTCTTTCGTCGCAGCCAGCAAGGGAACGTGATGTATTCCTGCACCCGGCAGCAGAACTGCCAGATCGATCGGACCAGCCGCAACCGGTGCCAGCACTGCCGGCTGCAGAAATGTCTCAGCCTCGGGATGTCCCGGGACGGTAAGGCCCTCTCCACGGAGCCCTGGAGCCCGAAGAGGCCCTCGTTGGCTCAGCCTTCCTTCTCAGACCCAGCGCACCCACCACAAAGGCCTGGCGTTGGCCAGAAATGGTTTTCTGCAGGCGGGGGGAGGCTCACTAGGGGAAGACCCGGTCGGTGAGGCAAAAGCCCCTCCTCGTAAGTCCCAGGGGCTGCTCGGCCACGCGAACGCAGCATGGGCTCCGAGTCTGTATTAGGGATGAGTCCGTGCTTCATCTCCAGAAAACCACAGGCTGGACGCTTTGCTTTTCCAGCGGTCAAATTCGGCCGGATGTCCAAGAAGCAGCGGGACAGTCTCCACGCCGAGGTGCAGAAGCAGCTGCAGCAGCAGCAGCAGCAGGGCGGCGAAGGCTCTGCCGCCTACTCCCTGGGGGTGGCCAACGGGCAGCTCAAGCTGGCTCCCCCGCCGGACCTCCGGGAGGCCTCGGCCTGCTCCACCGCCCTCCTGAACGGGCAGGCCCGCCTCAGCCAGTCCCCGGACGAGACAGCCGCCGTGGCCTTCTCCAACGGCTTTGCCAAGGCCCAGAGCCTGCTGGGAGAAGACCTGCGGGGCCCCTTCACCAAGGGCTACAGCCCCGAGCGCATCAAGATGGAGGGGCGGGGAGGCCTGTACTACTCCCTGGAGGTGCAGGCGTCCCCAGAGCTCCTGCACCCAGACATCAGCGGGGCAAAGCGGCTGGCAGGGGGCCAGGTCAGCAGTGAGAACCCCGACTTCTACACCACCCCAAGCTTCGCCAGCCTCTTGGAGTCGCCCAGCTCTTCTCTGAGCGAGATTGGTGAGTGATGCCTGTGCGGTGGAGGGGGGCTGTGGGAGAGCCCCACTGCAGAAAGGCCAAGGGCAGGTGGTGCAGGTGGGCCACAGAAGAGCAGGGCCTTTCCAGTGAGGGCCCCTTGTGAAATTCCCATGCATGTCCCGACCAAGAAGCTCCCCCGTCCACCGGGTGGTTTTGGTGCCAGAGGAAGTCCTTTCTGTTCCACTACACCTTTTTGTCCTTCTGTGTGTGTGCCTGTGTGTTTTCAGAAACCATGTTTGTGCTTTTTAGATCACAGGGCTGCTGTTGGAACTATTCTGTAGCAGCTCAATTAGATTTGAGTGTTATGCTCCATTTTTGGGCTTCACCCAATTTAACTCAACCAATTATTGGGTTTTAATAATGCTTTATCATTTGTGTTATAGCTCTGTTCTATGAAATACCAGAAGAGCTTCAGCTCTTGGGTACAATCTCTTTCCACACTCGCAGGAGTTGTGTTGAATTAAAAGCCCTGCTTAATTTGTTTGCCTCTTCCGTGGGCAGCAAAACGTGGGAAACATCTATGATTCGGTGGAGCGATATCAGAATGCTAAACCTTCTGCCCGTGGAATGGTGCTCCTCTTTGCTGCTGGTTGCCATGTTTTCCCAGAAGGCCCTCGGTGTGACCATGTACCATCACAGTGGGCCGCTCTGAGGGGCATTCTGGGAAAGCGCCCCCTGGTGGCCACCATGCTCAATTGCCTTCAGGGAGGGTCCTTCCGCATCGTGGACACAGGAAGGGCTGCAGGATGTGTGGTGCAAAACCTGGGTTCTGGGTTGGTCGAAAAAGGCTTCTTGGTAGGAGGACACGTGTCGGAATGCCGTCTAAGGAGGCCAGTTGCTGGGGAGCATGGGCAGGAGGGTACTCTTGCACTCGTGCCCTGCTGGTGGGCTTCTTGGGGGCATCTCAATGTCCACGGTTCCAAGAGTAGGCTGGACCACGTAGCCTCATCCAGCACCAGGGCTCTCCTCACCCGGCACCTGGCGTTGGTGCCCTTTGGGGGCAATCATGGCTATTCAGGCGAGGCAGAAGGCTTGCCCAGCACTTACCAGCGTCCATTGCGGCTTACTATGTATCCCATGCTCCTGGAGCGGGCAGGAAGGCAAGTACTCAGCCTTGTGACCGGCTGGCTGATTCCTCTCCCCAGAGCATCTCACCCAGAACGTCCTCAAGTCCTATCGGGAGACTTGCCAGCTGCGCTTGGAGGACCTGCAGCTCCTGCAGTGGCAGACTTTCACCAAAGAGGAAGTTGGGAGCTACCAGAAGAAGGTGAGGCGGAGGATCCCTTGTCTGTTGGGGGTGGCGGGGGGATTCTGCCGATGCCCTGGGGGTTCACAGGCAGGAGGTGGTCTGTGGAGACCCCGTTCCAGAGGCCTGACACCTCTGGCAGCATTACCAGAGGCAGGGTCTTTTCAGTGGTGGCACCCCTTCCTTGTGGAATCCATACCCCGGAAGAGCCTGCTCAGCTCTGTTGCTGCTGGAGGTTCCCCGTGGTTCGGCTTAGCTGCGGCCTGGAGCCAAAATCAAGGGGGATAAGTCACGACAGCGGGCAGCTCCTCTCAGTTGCACATCAGCCCACTCGCCCTCCCCTGTAAGAGCCAAACCCCCTTTCGCCTCATAAATTCTCCCATTTTGGCCCGTTTCCAGCTTAGGAGCAGTTCTGTAGCCAGTTTGGCTATTAATGCAAGATGGCTGATTTTTCCTCCCCGAGGAGAATTTCGATTTGTCGTGTTTAGACATACCTGTTTGCCTTTTCTTGACAAAGAAATGGACTAGAACGGTAAGGAGAGGAATTCAGCTTGATTCTGAGCTGCTCATCAAAACCCATCAAGTAATGAGAAATTCTTCCATATGTGCGTGTCTGGAATCTGCTAAGCGGTGACTCAGCCTGGCAGGCACGGAGGCCAAACGGCTTCGTGGCATCAGCTTTGGAAGTGCTGGGATGAATTGTTCTGAAGAAGGATGTACCCAGCCTCGTGTGTGGGTACTTTGCAGATTACTGTTATGGGGAAAGACAGTGTGGACTATTGGTTAGCGTGCTGGGAGACAACCAAACCTGGAGGTGACCTAGAGTCTTCTCTCATTTTAAAAAATCTCTTAAAAGCCATTCAAGCGGCAATTCTTTCGGTGTGGGCTTAATTGCTTTCAGGAATTTTAAAATAAGTATCTTGCTGTGAAAGTTTCAATTTTGGAATAACTCGTACATCGAATTAAGGAAAAATTCTCCTGTGTCAGCAGTATTAGGTCACAAGGGTTTGACTTGGTATAAAACAGCTTCCCATGTTCTTGTTTCTTCAGTTCCTTGAGGACTAGAATCTTTATTTTGAGGGAAAGCATAGAGCTCTGAGTCAGGCTTAGTAGTAAAGGACTAGATGGACCCCATAAGACAGGTTCCCATGACCAATGTGGGGTAAAATGTGCCAACCGTCTTCTTCAATGTAAAGCAGCATCCTCTCTCTCTCCCCCCCCCCCCCCCCCCGCAGTCCGTGGAGGAAATGTGGGAACGCTGCGCCTGCCGCATCACCGAAGCCATCCAGTACGTGGTGGAGTTTGCCAAGAGGATGGGCAGCTTCATGGAACTGTGCCAAAATGATCAGATTGTGCTCCTCAAAGCTGGTAAACGTGGCGTTTGTTTCTGGGCATTTCTGGTAGCTCATGGGCTTTCGGCAGCACCATGGTGGGATCTCAGATCTGTGGGTCACAGGAAGGCAGTGCCAGGACTCCTTAATTTGCAGGGCTGCTAGTGTCACCGGCCTCCCCTTTGGAGGGTCCTTGTTCCCGCCAAGCTTGGCTGCAGCTGTCGCAGGAGCTGGGAGAGGGCATGAATGTTCTCAGAACCATGTGGCTGTCAGCTCTCCTTGGCTTCATCTGAAGCCCTTTCTCCCTTTTCTTGTTCTTCGGCTTTCTCAGAAGACATAGATTTCAAATATGGCCAAGCTAAAAGTTATCCTGAAAGAATTACCCACCAGGATTTGGGGTTGAGAGTAGAAATGACCTTGCAGATTGGCCACCTGTGCCTGGATGCCTGTTTTGGCTCAGTGCTAGTTCTTAAGAGGGTTTCGAAGGGAACGCTTTGTCCTTTTCCTGTTTAGGATCATTTCTAAACCCTCTGGGTTTTCTTTCTGCCTTCCTTCTTCCTTCCTCTTAGGTGCCATGGAAGTAGTTTTGGTGAGGATGTGTCGTGCCTTTAATTCTGAGAATCGGACGGTCTTCTTTGAGGGCAAATATGCCGGCCCAGAGATCTTCAAATCGCTTGGTACGAAAATGTGGATCCTCTCAGGAGAGTTCATAGACATCTATCAGCTGAGTGAGCCAAAGGTTGGAAGTCAGATCCAAAGGAGGAAGCGAGAAGGGCAAGATCCATTTTAGGATCTGGTGCCAGGGTTGTATATATAGGCTGCCGTTTGTATCACAGGAGGAACAACATGGAAACCAAGTCCGAACAGCATGTCTGTAAGCAGCTAAACTGGGAGAAATTCCAGTAATACAAACAAATGTGTCCCATTTGCATTTTTAAGAATATTAATCAAATTTGTACCTGGGGAGGCAACTTGTCAGCCTTCAGACACTGTTGGACTACAACACCCATCATTCCCTGCAATTGGTTGTGCTGGCTGTTGATGAAAGGTGCAGGGCGGGGAGCACAAATTATAGACAAAGCAGAGATGGCTTAACTTCCAATATCCACACTTTTTCGATGGTTGCACTTGAAATGCTTAGTTTTTTCAAAGATGCCTGCGAAAACATAGTTTAGAGGGGATCACCTGGAAAAAAAGAAAAATGCATCCAGTTTGAAGAATGTGTTAAAATATGCAAGCAGTTTGTGTGCGTTTTGAAAAATGCAGAGAAAAAGACATCCATTTTCATGCAGACATTCAAAAGGCAGTTCTCTCACTGCTGGAGAAATGGGATAGAAAAAACATTTTTGGTGAAAAATTAGCAGTTCTTAATGTGATCAGTGGCACAGTGGTAATTTTTAAAGTGTTGGAACTCATCCTGACAACTTCCATAGCCAGACCCCTTAAGAAGAGTCCAAAATCGGAGGTAGCAGGATTGATCCAAATTAGCAACCTGTCTGAGCAGTTTTCACCTCTGCCAAGAGTGGGTTTGTTTTACACGACATGGGTCTTAATAGCCCATTCAGAACCAAGTCACCTCAAAATATTTGGTATTACAGCAACATTTTGTTGCTGGAAAAATTCATTTCCACCTTCCCCACACCCTCCACTCCAGTATTGGGAAAATGACAGATAAGTTCAGAGGGAAATGTAGGAAATTCACAGGAAATCTGGGCGTGTGCTTATGTAACATTTTGGGAGTGATGAGCCCTGAAAAGGGAGAGAGTGGTTGCAAAAGCATGCCTTATAAAACCTTTTTCTGCAATAGCAGGCAAGCCGAAACAGACTTGGAGAGTTTGGGTTTTTTGGGAGGGGGGAATGGATCAGCAAATCTATGCTGGGAATATTCTCTGTCCCCCCCGTGTGCCACAAATTTCTCACATCGAGTACAAGTGAACTGTTCCGGTCTTAATTCAGAGAGGGGGTCTTGTTTATTTCCCAGGCTGCAACGAGCTGATCAACTCCATCTTCGACTTTGCACAGAGCCTCTGTTCACTCCACTTCTCCGAGAACGAGATCGCCCTCTTCACAGCACTAGTGCTTATTAACTCAAGTAAGAACGGCAACAAACCAAGTGCTAGAACTGAGCGAGGGAGACCAGGGTTTCTGGGGAGGGCCCAGCACCTCTCTGACTGCCATGCGGCTGCATGGGCTTGTCCAGAGAGAGACTCGCGAGCCAGTTGTCCTTGTGGGTCAGCCACAGTTTTTGTGTTGTTAAGACGCTGTTTTTATTCTCTTGGTGTTGGCCACTACTCCAGAATCTGCCTAGATATGGAGCGGTCTACAAATGCAGCCAATAAATAGATAATAAACATTTACAAAAGAGAGGGGCCTTCTCTGTGGTGGCAGCTCAGAAAGTACGAGGTGGAAAAGTTTTTGTTTGCACAAGCATTTTGAAGCAAAAATAATTCAATGTCTGTCTCACTGGCTGGTAGAAATTCCTTCCTTCCTTCCTTCCTTCCTTCCTTCCTTCCTTCCTTCCTTCCTTCCAACTCAAAGACTCCCTGGGCAGTTTACAAAATTGAAAATAAATGAATATTTTCATGTATCTCTTTTTTATTTAAGTATATGGACTTAGTTTGGCTCTACAAAAAAGAGCTCGTGGAGCAGTTTATAATAGATTCCTTCTCTCTCTTGCTCTGTGTGTGTGTGTCTGTCTCTGTCTGGATATATAAGGGGCAGGGAAAACCACCCAACAAAATCCCAGAGGGCTGTATTTGGCCCTCAGGCGATATCTGAGACCCTGGGCTTAAGAGACCAGTAGATCTTTTAAGTCCAGAAAGAGCACAGGCAACGTTTCTGAGCGACCTGAAGGCGATATTTGGTGGCCCCGAGGGAGCGTCTAATTCTAAGCCTCCCAGGCTGTGAGGGACTATTTTCCTCCCGGCAGAGGCAAAACTTCGTGGATCGCAGCAGGCCCTTTGCCAGACCTTCCTGCTTCTTGCTTTCAGATCGCCCCTGGTTGCAGGAGAAGAGCAAGGTGGAGCAGCTGCAGAACAACCTGGAGCTGGCCTTCAAGCACATGCTGCGGAAGAACCACCGGGAAGCCATCTTGGCCAAGGTGGGCCCTTTGTCGGGGGGAAGAGGATAGCTCTGTGGGACCCCCCAGACTTCATGCCCGTGAGCGTTCAAAGGCTCTGGTGCAGGAGTGCAGAAACGTTTTGGCCCCAAGAGCCACGTGTGGTGCTGGCGGGGTGCGTGCACAGCTGTGGCTGTGTGTAGTCGGGTCATCTTCAACCGACGTATGGTGACCCTTTGAACGAAAGGGCTTCAAAATGCCCCACCTGCAGCAGCTCTGCTCTGCTTGTGCGAATTCGGCACAACCGTGCTTTTGAAAAATGGGGCACACGTACCTTAGAAGCAGTCCAGACAAAGCAATGTGTATATTTGGGGGAAATGGGCATCAAAATACATGCAGATGAAAAATGGGGAACACAAACCTGCATTGCGATGCAGCAGCAGGAGGGTAAAGTTAGTGGTGGAAGAAATGAGAACCTGAGCAGATTTGAAGATGGTCGATTTGCCATCCTTGTACTTCAGCCTATCTGGGGATTTTCCTTTCGAGGCCTGCCGTGTTGCTTTGGGCAAGAGGATCAATAATATCTCCTGCGGTAAACGTCTGACTTTGCTCTTTCCTTCACATGACAGCTGCCACCCAAACGGAAGCTTCGGAATTTGTGCTACCAGCACATGGAGAAGCTGCGTTCCTTCCGTCAAATGTACCCCGTCATCGTCCACGCTGTCTTTCCGCCGCTCTACAAAGAACTCTTCAGTTCAGACTGCGAGCCGCTCCCGGGGGCGACGGGGGAATGATGCCAGCGCGCCACCCCAGCGAGACGGGAACAGCACCGATTGGTCTTCTCCACACTCTCTGTCTTTCTCCTACTTCCTCTCTGGAAAGGACCCCGGAGTGGGAAGGGCGGGAGACCCCCGAGACCAAAATCAAAGGCCGCACCTTGTGCATTCCCGCACAACGGTCCACTGAGGGGCGGCTGGGGAGCGAATGCCGTGGCTCTCGCACTTCTCCCAGCAACGTCGCCTCCTCAGACATGCCCTCCTTCCCTTAAGGAAGCACCGTGGGCCCGCTGGCCCACCCCTCGTTGCGCTGAGGGGGATCAGCAACGGTTTACGAAGCGGTTTCAGAAAATGCTTGGAAGTTTGCCGCCGTTAAAGTGTCAAGTATTAATTAAGGGGAGAGTCTTGCCGACAAAGAAAGCTCTTGCGAGGAGAGCGCTTTCGCCATGACATGGTCTCATTGGAGGGGCAAAGCCCAGATAGCTGCCCAAGTTTTAACACCGCAGCCAATATGGCTGATTCTGGTAGCCCAGAAATACCTCATTTTGCTGTCTAATGGCATGAGACTCAACCAAGCTGTTTATTTTTTTAAAACCAAGTTTTTAAGAAAGATTATTATATATTGTGGATAAATGTGTCTCTATAAGATAGATCCCTATTTTTCAGTGTCTGTCTGCTTCTGTATTTGAGAACGAAGGAGTTGTGCTCCCTCTCTCTCCCCCCCCTCTCTCCCCCCCCACTCCCTCCCCCTGCCCCCCTCCCCACTCCACTGCACCTGGGTCTCTGCAGACCAGTCTCTCTTACTAGATTCTAACAACCAGCAACTAAGCAAAAGGTAAACTATTGCTTATTGCTTCGTATTTTAAGCCATTTAAAATAAACTAACAAACTTCAGCTCACACACGCACACACCCCCCGCTTTTCCATGCAACAAAATTTATTCAACACCCCTACTAGTTTTCTCATATGCTCATTTATCCTGTTCCCTGGCAGTTGCCTGCATTAAACCACTTACACCAGGCCAGGCCAACGGTAGGACTGGATCCACCAGAAGGTCTCTGGGCGATTGGCAATAGACTAGCAAGTGCTTCCGCTCCCAAAATGCATTAAATACCTTTCCCTTCCAAAATCCGGTTGTCCAAAAAGGAGGCTTGGAAGGAAACTACCTTTTGCTGCAAGCTGTGATAACTGAGCTCCAACCTCTGGTACTGATCACAAATTATTCAGCTGCATCTGGCCAGAGACACCCTGGTTCTGAGCACAACCACCTGCCTGAGCTGTTGTTCTGCTCCTGGTTGTGGCTGCAGATCTCTGGGGTCTAGTGCAAAAACAAGAAAGTGGGATTCTGCCTGCCCCAGTTTATACCGAGTGCCCCAAGAAGGTTGCTAGAACATAACATGAGTAGAAAGCGACTGGTAGAAAGCGAAGAAACTGTGCCATTTCCACGCCCCGGATGGAAGAGGTCATAGGCCACTTGAGTGGAATGAACCAAGATTTCTCTTGGTCCTTTTTGCCCACAAAATTTTAGAGCTCTCTTAACTGGTCCCTGTGGCCCTTTTTCGTCCCTGAGCCAGAAACGTGTGTTGATCTTGGACTAGATTAATAGGGCTGGCTCCCGGGAATTGCAGGGTGCAGAAAGAAGGGGGTCGGATTATCCATCTCACCTGACCTAAAGTAAGAGGGGTAGAAAAGTATGACCAGGAGAGGCAAACACACCTTTGATTGCAGCTTCCCCCAAATTGGTACCCTCCAGATGTTTTGGACTACAACTCCCAGAATCCCTCAGCCACACTGGCTTGGGACAGAGGTGAGCTAAAGACAAGCAGGTGCTGGAGGCTATGCTAAGGTGCATCCTATGCAGGTTTAGACTGAAAAGGCCCTGCGTTTCTCAGTGTGCCGCAGCCAGCATGGATTGCATCCCGTCGCGCTTTTTCCAAGGCCGTTGCTCCTCCATTTAAAGAAAACCTTATTCAGTGCCATAATTCTGAACCAGCGGATTATATTTTCTTTCTCTCATTTACCCATTTCTATACCAAGCCAATGTTTATAAAGCCAAGCCAATGCTTATAAAAATTAAAAACTAGTAAAAATTCTTGATGTTGGAAAAGCCCTTTATGTCCACACGTATTAATAGATCACATGCACTCAAACACGCATCTGTCAAAACAAGGTTAAACCTTCAACTGAGTGTGTGTTGTGTGTTTTTAAATCCTTTTAGGTATTTTCTCAACCTGGAGGAAGGGATTCCCTCCTTGACAAGAAGTGGCAGAACTGCTTATCCGAGACAGAACAACTATAAAAAGTGAGGAAAGAGATAACCAAATCAAACCAAAGAGGCAAAGGCATCTAACTCTGCTCCTCGCCCTCACACATATCCACAATGTACCAGGGACCCATTAATAGCAAAATCAGCTATTTTGGACATTATAATTATTAACTCCCAAGGAATTATTTCGAAGGGCTGGTTTTTTGCGTTCTCAGTTGTGTTCTAAGACAGGCCCTGATGTTTACATCTTTTTTTTTTTTAATCCGCATCGAATCATGATGTAATCAATACTTTTAAGGGATAAAGCATTATCCCTCATTTAATCAGCTGAGGTTGCAGACCTGCTTATGAGATGCTCTATCTTTGGGACAGGCTGTGCACTTATAAAAAGGAGCAGGACAGAAATGTCATGAATTGGCACAAATGGGATTCAGAATGATTGGTTAAATAACTCATTGGTTAAAAGCAAGGGTGTGACGGCAGCGTGGTATTGGCTGGATGAGCTGCACAGGTATGTTCACACCTGTGCACACCGAAGGCATGTTCCCAGTTCCATTAATGGTCTTCCTATTTCCTCCAAACTTTGCAGATTTTCATTTTTAAATGCCTGCTGCTCCAAATGTCATGGTAACGTCCAGGCTATTTTTGAAAAAAGAGGAATTCTATATTTGGCATATATTCGTGTGTGTGAGAGAGAGACAGAAATGGCCATTAATGTAACTACTTTGGGAAAACCCTTTTATTGAAGAACAGGAAAGGTATTTTATTAAACGCCAAAATTCTGCCTCTTCACAACCCACTTTAGCCTTCCCTGCTTCTACAAACACCAACCCTGAATGGATGGCTTTCTTCCCGTAATGCTTTGCACACCCCCTTTCTCCTCTTGAATGCATGCGAGATTCTTCTTTGTTCGCTTCTCTGGGGAGAGAATGGTGTGTGTGAATTACAGGGTGCCTGAATTCCAGGGTTGAAATGTGAATGGGGAAGGCTTTATTATGGGATGGCATGACTCATGCATCCAACGTGCACGGCACAGATGGCTGGCTTGGGAAGACAGGCCGCTAAACCAGCATCCCAGGGAATCCCAGCTGTTTTAGCCATATTAACAGTTCCCCAAAGAGGGCCCTGAACCAGTCCCTTCAGGACTTGGTTTTTATTTATTATTTTCACCGATTGTGACATTCAGCCTCGTGTTGTTGTGGAAATGCTTCTGCGCTCTGTTGCACTGATACGGATTCGGTTCCTTGGGCCTAGTTTGGGGTGCACGATTACCGCTTCGGAACTGCTCTGTGTTTTGTCGAGCGTTGTCCGGCCTGAGGCAGCCGCTAGCCGCGTTGTGTCCCACACTGGTTGCAGCGTCCATTGTGATGGAGGGGCAGGGCTGTCACTTGCCCGACTGGGGACCGAACTGAAGCATCCACTCCCTACCTGCGCTCAAAATAGAGAGAGCAGAGCCACCTTGGGCACCCCAGACGTTGCAGCCAGTTCTTGTTTTGCATGGGCCAACAGACGGCACAGTCTCTCGGTCCCGTTGGCACTTGGAGCAGCAAGAAAATGCGGGGTTATTACTGAGTATACGCCAGCCCATCTCGACAGCTCGGCTGAATGTACGTAAAAACAGCATGCATCGGTGCGTCTCTTCCACAGAGAGTATTTTTGGATGCATGCTTGGGGACAGGCGGGAAAACACCTCTGAGGAAACATCTGAACAAAGAAGCCGAGCTTGTGTTCAGGCAGTAGCTTCCCGTGCGTGCTGATGGGATGCGTTTGGAGACACTTGGAGGAAAGCCCCCAAGTGTATGGTGTGTGTAGGTGGAACTGACCCGCTGAAAAGGTGCCCCAGTTTCCCGTTTGTGCTAAAGCTGCTGCAAGTTGTGCGTCGAAATTCCCAAGTGCAGATTCCCCCTCCCCTTTGAAGCACACTTCAAACAATCTGAGACAATCAGCGTTTTACTAATATTCGGGGAAGTGCGACTGCCAACCTTGCCTCTCCTGAATGTCTGGTGTTATCCGGAGGTTCTTGGTTTGGTTCTTGAACCCCCAAATTTTCTGACCAGCGCAAGGCAAGGATGATGCGCAGCTGGGGGTGGTGTGTTGTGGTGGGGAGCTCGCGTCCCAAAATTTGGATTCAGGGAAATGTCACTCCGGGATGAAACCAAGGAACGGGCAGGGCCAAGGCAGAATGCTCTGCATCATGGAGGGAGAGTTTGGCTAGGAGAGGTGGAGCCAGAAGGCGACCTGACGGATTATGGGTAGAGCCAAATAAAAAAGCATTGGTCTTTAGGCCCTGCATGCATTTAAATACTGGAATTCCAAAGTATGAGCAAGAGATGACTCTGGCCCACGTAACTCCCCAGCTATTTGATCAGCGGTGGCTTTTTCTACTGTCTGACACTGAAAAAAGAGAAGTAGTTGAATCCATAGCAGATTCTCCTTTCTCCCCCGCCCCACCCACCCCGCACCCCGGGTTTTCTGTAGGTTGTCTGTCACTTTCTCTCTTACATCCTTCATCTTTTAAGGAAACCAACCCTGGTTTTGTTGTTTGTTCTTGTTTGTTGTCGGGGAAAATCTGTTTGAAATATTTAAATAGTTTTTGTTTGTTTTTGGGGGGTTGTGTAAATATCTGTTTTAAAAGCAAGCAAGTTTAGGGTAATCCTTCTTTGAAATGTGTACAACAGGACTTTTTAACAGGACTTTAGGTTACTTTTTAATTTAATTAAATGATGGTGCATATTAATGTGACTCATTTTATTCTCTCTCCTTAGCTGCTCCCAGCAGTTCTGTGAATTTTCATAGTGATAAACTGGGGGGGGGGGGTTGAGCTTTAGAGAAGCAACCTGGTGTTGCATTTTAGTTGTGGGTAAAATAGGGACATAAGGGCAGGGCAAATCCCACTCTATTTTACATTACAGCTCTTACAGCAAACTAAGCCTTAGGTGTTAAACTCTTTTGGAAAAGGGTGTAAACAGCATCAGTGCTGGAAATCAGCAATTAAATGCTTTAATTGAATGGGGGGAGGGGGCAGGCCATCTCAGGAACCGGGAGGGGCTGCATTCAGGCACCCGGGCCTGAAGTTCCCCACTACAAATCCCATCAGCCACCACCAACATGGCCAGGGATGATGGGAGTTGGAGTCTCAAAATATTGGGAGGGGGGTGGACCAACAGTAGGTCTTGGTCGCTGGTGACTCCGTACTCTCCATGGGATCGGAAGCCAGCGCTGACGGCCCACTTCCCATCCACCTGGAGGTCCCCAAAATTGGAAGCCCTGCCCCACAAGCAGAATGGTTCTGATTGGAAGCCCCATGGTCCACAGCCCCCAATGCTGTGGGATCACCCCAGTCATGGCCACCCCAG